TTTGTAAGTATACACATACATTCCTTTTATTGAATAAAGTAAATTTATATTATTAATTCATGAAACTTATCTATACAACATCTAACAAGTCTCTATTAGTTTTAGAATCAGTAGTTAATAAAAAGTTTAGTTTTTCTTCTTAAAAAAAAAAAAACAAGCATTTTTAATTTTATCAATTTTAGAAGCAGCTGTAAATAAAAACGAAGAAATATTTCTTTATAATAAGAGAAAAACAAGCTTTTTTAATCAATCAATCTCAGATTTGCTATAGATATCATCATCGAAACCATGTTTATCTGATGACACGCAAAATCATCATTGATGACAAAATTATAAACACTCAATTTGGAAAAAAAGTCCAAAAATTCACAGGCTTGTTTTCGAAATTTATGCAGGACTGAATATTTCTAAATATATATATACATACATACATACAAACACAGTGTACACTAGTATAAACATTTTTCACATTTTGTAATATTGAAATTTTACTTAAAAATGCAAGCTATAAAGAATTAAGATTTCAGATATAATTATTCATACTTCTTCCTGTAGTTGTTGTAGTTTCAATTTACGCTTCTCATCTTCATCAGAATCACTGGAAGAGCTCCCTGAAGATTCCGAGCTAGTCCTAGATCTAATTTCTTCTTTAACTTGAGGGACTGGAGGCGTTATATCACTGGGTGAAGGCTCATCTGGCATTTTAGCAAATCGCATTTCAAAAACATCCTGCATTTAAAGAGATAAACATTTTCAAAAAAAAATGCATACAGCATAATTATAATTGCAAAATATTCAGCAATTCATGAATTATATTGAACTAAAAATTGCTTTATTGTTAATGATAGATAATTCACAGATGAATTACAAAATGCACAAAAATAGAGTCTAAAACTAAAGCAAATAAAAAAAATTTAATTTAAAAAAAGTACCTAATTTGATAACACTTAAAATTTAGTCATTTTCAGTTATACATTTTAATAATTGTTTTAAAAAAACTTTACCTGCAGTTTCCTTGCCATGGCAACAACTTCATGATCTGGTGGATTGTATTTATAACAATTTGTAAATATTAATCGAACATCGGCAGCGAATTCTGCTGGTGTCTTATACACTCGGTCTTCCAATTTCGACTGTAATTAGATAAAAAAGAAAGTAAATTATATTAACCATTTGACAGCAATAAGGAAGCAAATAAAAAAAATTATACAAAAAATCAACTAAATGCATCATAAAAAATATAACTAAGAATTCCTAGGATACAAATTTTAAATAAAAGAGTTATTATACACATAAAATAAAAATAACTATTATGCTTTCAAGACAGAAACAACTCAATTGTTAACAAGGATGTTAAATAATAATTTTTGGCACAAAAGTTACAATAACTAATCTGCCATATCCTAATCGTAAAATAATTTTAATAAAGTCAGATTGCACATTTAATGTTAGATAAATAAATGCTAAAAAGTTTTTTCTATTTTGATTGATTAAATAGCATAAAAATAAAGGGTATAGGTTCGATCTTCGTCAGTCATTTAAGATGACGATCTCGTGCATCCAACTTTCGTCAGTAACGTCATGGTCTGCGGGGATCGCAGTTTCTTTTCATTTGCTGTTGGTCATTCTCTTGTGGATCAAGATGTCATAAATTATCTGTTTAAAGACTACTTAAGTTTCTGTTGAAGCAGATTATTTTGCATTCTTTCTTTTTGTTACTCATTTGTCACTCTGTTCGTGAGAGTATGTCTACCAGTTTAATATGTTTTTAAAATAAATTTATTTCTGTAGAAACTTTGTTTTTCATTTCTTTTTTGATATACAGATACAATGATATTCTACGACAATCTTGGATGTCATTTAAGTTATTTAAACATCCCTTAGACACCACACATTATTAAATATGATTTATGCATGCATGTCTAGTTTTGACAAAGATTACTGTCTTAAAATTATGTCTCCTACATTTTTTTATGCAGTTTAATAGCAACAATAAATGTTAGTGTATCAACAGTCCTTTATGTTATTTCCATATAAAATATTCTACACATAGTTTTGACTAGAGGTGTCCACATACATTCCCAAGATTACAAGTTGTATATCTCTGATAGATGTACTTTTTTGAATTATTCCTATTTTGAACTAACAGAACTTAAAAAAGAAATCTTACGAAAAGGTATAAAAGAAAATTTAATTACAGGCAAAACTGTAAACAAAGTATAAGAACTGTAAATAGTACAAGAATTTTAACAAAATATTGTAATTAAAATTAGTTGAAAACTATAATCATACCTTTACTGTTCCCAAATCCATTGGACATTTAATGACATCATAGTAGTCATGAATATTCAGGAGTTTTACATCAACTGGTTTGTAAAATGGCCAAGCATATCCCTACATAATTATTTTAAATCAGATACACTAACCAATTCAAAACATAAAGGAAATAAGTTTTTATAATTAAATAAATCAGAAGTGTGTTTTATGTTGACATAAGATTTAATATAATTTTAGTTACTGTTCCAATAGTTAAAAGAACATTAACTTACACCATGTTTTTTTGCAAAAAGTTCTTTTAAAACTAGATGGCAGTACTTCATCTGCTCAGTCATCTTGTTCTTTTTAAGCTTGGAATTGTTCGACTAAAAAAAAAAGGATATTATAAAAAATATAATATTAAACAAATTTGTTTTCGTTAAAAAAATAATTAAATTTTACTTTCTTTCAGTAGTGATAGCAAGAAAAATAAAAAATAAAAATTTCAATAAATATTACGAGGATTAGATTTAGGCACACTTCAAATACAATATTTTTAGTTTAAACATACAATATCATTTTTAAAAGTAAGATATTTCAGTGAAACATACCTTAAGATAAAAAGCTAGCAGATAAATCACACAATAGTTTTTCTAATTAGTGGATCTGCATAATACAGCAATCAAAATAAAAAATCTCAAAATTAAAAAAATTTTTTTTTTTTTTTTTTTTTTTTTTAAATTTCAAACATTTGGAACAAGCCGAAATCAAGGCAAATTCTAAGACTTCTGCAGTAAATTTCAGATGCATACTGCTGTACAAATGAAAAAACAACAAAAATGCTTCACTAGTTTTTGAGAAAAATAGCTTGACAACTAGTTTCTCTCTATTGCTAATACTATGAATGCTAAAATAGGATTTAAGAAACCTGATAAAACAAAATTTTAATTTGAAAACAACCACCAAGCAGTCTTGATCTTTAAGATGTTACACTGTATTTGTAAGTATACACATACATTCAGTGACGTTTATATTCAGAGACACATAGATTTAAGAAGAATAACCGCACTATCCTTAAGTAAAAAATATATTTTATGAAAATATGATATTAATAAGGTAGAGTATAATATTACTATGGAATATCATGTTTTAAAATGTATGGCAAAAAAAGAGAGAAAAAATCAGTGAAATATTTTTAAAATAGACATACTTCAACAGCAATTGGAGCTTCTGGTAAATCTTTGGATGGTTTTTTAATAGGGCGACCACTCTCCCTTCGAGTGGAAATTTTAGGTACTTTATCCGGCGGAGCTAAAGGAATAACAGGTTCAGGAATAACTGCCATTGGAGTTGTAGTGTCAGCTTTCCGCTTAACTCCTTTCTTTGTCTGAAAACAAAAAACAAAAAATTTAAAAATTAGAAGTTAAAATTATTTTAGAAACATGCAACTTTCATAAATTAAAATAAAAATAACAACAATGAATAGCTGAAATAAAATAAAAAATAATCTTTAAAAAAAAACCTTAGAAGGAACAGGATCAGGAGAACGAGTGACTGGTTTTAAATTTTCCACAGCTGAGGAAGATGCCCTTGAATGAGATGGATGATGATGACTATCATTAGAAGATGAATAACTGGAATGTCTTAATGTTGGGGGAGATGCTGAGGGAGATGAAGATAATGTTGGAGTATTTGTACTACCAGGAATAGCATATGGAGCTGTGTTTCTTGTAGAAGGTGGAGCTGGAGCTGCTTGTGCACTAGGTATTGATGCGACACAGTTCTTTGCACCAGGAGGAATTGTACTTGGAGGTTTTGAGTTAACTGGAGAAGCCACAGTTGCAACTCCTAAAAAAATATTATAATTATAAGCATTGCAAGTATTAAGAAAAAACTTCTCTTTCTACATCTATTTGGTAAATATATCATCACATAGTTCACTGTTTAAAATATTTATTTTTTCTACCACATTTTTCTTTCAAATTTTATAACAAAAAGTACTTAAAACTGCCTTTAAAGTAAAATGTTTCTTTTACAAATAGCAATAAAAAAAGTTAATTGAATATGAAAAACTAATTGCATATAATTTAAGCAATGGTAGGAATATGTAACCACGGAACAATTGAAACAGAAATTATTTAAATTAGAATAGGCTATTATATTAATGTCAGGCATATATCATTAATAAAAAATACAATAAACAATTTCTAATACTTTAAAACATAAAACAAATAAAAAGATGCTAAGTTGGAATATAAATGCTGAATTGCAGGGATGCTAATTTGTAGTGATGCTCTTCTGTTTTCACAGGTATCTTCTTATAGCAATTGGGATCATTTATTTTCTATAGTACTTTCTAAAGGGGTAATAACTTTTTTTCTGAACACTAAAATAAATGAATAAAAAACAACAATCATAGTTTATAAAAGTACTAAAAAGGTGATTAAAACGTAACTTTTGATAATACAATCAATACCTGAAAATAAAAGGATTATATACCAAAAAACAAAAAGTTACAAAATCATGGACATTACATGATTGGGAAAATGTACCAGAAAAACAAATGTGTAATTCAAAGCTCAAAACTGAAATCTTTAGGGAAGTTAGAATTATTATATAGAATGATTATGAGAAAAACTTTGAATTATACAACAAACCTTTAGGTCTTCCAGCTCCTTTCCCTTTCTTTCCTTTTCCTTTACCACCAGATTTATCAGGTATTTCTATATCAATTTCCTATAAACAATATTTATTTATTAAAGGTGAACTTATACTTCCAAGAACAACTCACATAGACCTATGCATCAAAAAATTTCTAACTACAACAAAAGAAGAAACTACAACAAAAAGATAACTTTATTAGAACACTATATTGAAAAATTAACAAGCAAGTAAAAACGTATACAACTGGTTTCACTAAAACGTATGAGTTAGTTCAGGAAATCACATTACTTTCTGCTTGCTATTTTCAGCAATGCGAACTTGAAAATTATGATTTCAGTAATAATCACAATTAACTTATAATGATTTTCAGTAATCCTCAGTAATAATAGTTTTACCTTATAACTTTAATATCAAACTTTAATAATAAAGATTTAGTGTTTATTTTAATGGTACTACACATTAAAAATTAATAAGAATTTATTCATTATATAATTATTTTAAAAACTAATATTCCAAAACTGTTCTGTTAATAGATAAAATTTGACACCTAAAAAGGTACATAAGTACTAAAAAGTTGTTAAAAGTTTCATAATACATACTTGTATAATAGAACACAAAATAAGGAACTGAAACTTCAAAAGAAAAATTTTTTATACGTTTTATCTAAATCTAATTAGTACTTTGCTTTGCAGCTTTTATCTCAGCATCAGAAAATTTCCTTTCAAAACACACTTTTTAATGCTTTTGTTTTTTCTATAATGCTTTTGTTTTTTCTATAAGAAGAGAAGAAAAAGTGTCAGTTCCTAAATTAGGTCGGAAATCATTGTCGTTTTTATCGTGCAATGCTAAATACTCTTCCTGTGTATGAATTGCTCTGAAGTACCAGAAGTACTAGAAGCATCAACTTTGGCAAAACAGTAAACCTCAGAACATACGATACAGAACACATGTCCTTCCAACACTTTCGACTTTATAAAACACGGTCATTCTGCACTATAGGCATCGCGATAATGCTGCGTCAATTTTTGTTTTTTTTGCTTGACGTTCCATTGTACTGAGTGATTTTTTACATATACAGGCTTTTTTGCTCATTAAATGTCCGTTAAAAAATAGATTTTAAAAAATTTTCGTTTATTTCTGCTCACAGTAAGTACCACTTATTTCTGTGCTGTTGACATGACGGATCGGAAGCATGACGTCATTGCATGCTAGCCGAGAGCGCAATGTTTAAAAGGAGCGTTCTCTGTGCCTCTGGTGATGCATTTCCGACCACTGTCCTGATTTGTGCAAAGTGTCTGCATCAACCGATATGATTCAATGAGAATGATTCTTAAAAGGAAAAAATTATAGAATAAAAATTTAATTTTTGGATTAGTCAAAAATTATTTTTGTGTAATTTTGTGGGTGTTGCCAGTGATAGCGTAACGTTGACATAAAATCTGTAATAATTATGCTCAATCCATAATAGTTGGCATCTCTGTATTTTTGTATTCTATATTTAAAACTTTATTTATATAGTAATAATTTATTTCAATTAAAAAAAGAAATTGCAAGCTAATGAATTCAATTTCTTTCAATATTAGTTTAAAAAATTTAAGGTCTAAATAAATTTAACACTTCTGCATACTTCTTTGGGACCTTCTTCCATTTTGGACACAAATATTTTCTCGATCGTATGAGCCATTAGAACAACATCCTACAAATTATAAAAAATTGGCATGTATTAAACACAAAACAATCATCACTTATTAGCAACAACATAATTATAAATTTTAATACAATTTTGATCATTATTATTAATAAATTTTTATTAATCTCTTAAATCAATTATTATGGAATAAGCTACATTTTTAAATAAGTCAAGCATGCTTAAAATGGTTAGACATTACTTTCTAATTAAAGACAGGTGAAATTGGTTGTTGCAAGAAGCTTGGAGTTCAGTAAAATATTTAATACTCGATTTGGGAGAGGGATTTTTTCATACACAAGTTCAATAAGCAAAGAACTATATAAGAATTATTTACAAGACCTCTGTAACTTAATAGCCTTTGACTTAAGAAAGAATTAAATTGGAGAATATTACTGAGCCTGAAAGTTAGAATTACTAATAGTATTAGAACTATTGTGCAACTATAACGTTAGAATGAATGTACTGTTTGGATCATTTGGTTGGAAATTTTAAAAAAATATATCTTTTTCAGAGTAATAATAAACACTCTCGCTTACAAAGTCAAGCAATTGTGCTTTTTTAATTGAACATATTTTATAAGCGGCTTAAAAAAGTCTGGTTCATAAACTTTCTAAACCTAATTTCTGTATTTTCAGTTATGTGTGCAATTGCTAATCACTGATACTTTATTTTTCAAACATCATTTTTTTCAAACACTTTTTTGTATATTGCCTTTAAGTAGAAAAAATTACTATAAAACCATGATTTTAATGCGCAAATGAGACAATTATATCAAAAATATACAGTGCATGATTAATGACTATACAGATTATCTAAACATATAAAAAAATTTATAAGATTTGAAAAAAAATATATCTAAAATATAAATATACATTTAAGTTAGTGTTCACTTACTTCTCCTGGTTTGTTATATCGATAGCAGTTGTAAAACATAGCTTGAAAATCTCTTATACATTCTTTCACATCATAATAATAGAAATTCTCAATCCTCCTTTTTATGGTATTTAAATCCATGGGATACTTAATAATGCTATGATAATCCTGAAAACAAATTGAAAATTAATAACATGTGGTGGTACTCTAATAGTAATACAACAACTATTTAAAATTTTAAAAAAAAAATTTATTCAGAGGAAATTTTTTTTTTCTATTAATATATTTAGGCAAAAATTAAAACTAATATGAAAAACAGTAAAAATTTAATAAGCATTCATATTATAATATGCACACTTTACAATTTTTAATTAATGTTGAAACTACAATCTCTACTGAATTAATTAAAAACTATAAATATGCATTGGACATAGTTAGGCTACTTCATAAATTTATTATTTAATATTAAAGAATCCTAATAACAAGCTAAATTAAAGAAAAAGAAACGAATTTTAAAACTAGTACTAAATGCACCCTTTCTTATTAAATTATGAAACAGCTCTCATGCAATTGCAAAGAAAATAATGCCTAAAAAAAAGAAAAGGATCCTTACCGGAAGTTTCAATTTCACAGTATCTACAGGTTTCTCAAAAGGCCATGCAAAATTATGTTTGTGAATAGCCTTTAAAACAACCTTCAAAACAAATTGCAGAAGATTGGTATTTCTATGAGGCTTTCCTTCCGGTGGATAAACTAAAGGTTGAACAACACCATTTATGGGCTCCATTTGAGCATCCATAGCTTCATACTCTGCTAAAGCAGCTTCATCGTTCATATTCTATAATAATAAAATAAGCAATGAAAAACACCAAAATACTAATTCAAAAAAATACACTCATGAAAAATACATAGGATTTTTTTCTTTAACTTCAAACCTGAATTAAAACTATTTGTAACAGTATCAAAGTGGTTTTTCAGCAAAAACTTCACAAAAATGTTTTTTTTTTTTTGTTTGTTGTTATTTCATTATTGACACTGCATTATAACTTATTTGACATTGATTAACATAAAAATCATAATAGCATTTTGTTTAATTAATATCTACAAAAAACATAATTAAATTTTTGTCGATCGTAGGCTCCCAACCTTTTTTGAATCAACCGCCAACTTCAATTCAATTTCAACTTCAATTAAGTAATAACAAAAACGTTTTTGTCCCAATTAAAGTTTCTTATTCAAGGTGCATAAAATATACCTAATAACCAATGTTGGAAACCATTTTTATACTAATTTTGATTAATATGACTTACATACAAAATTTTCAAATTCACCAATCAAACAAATTCATCATAACATTTAGCAATTTAAAGCAAATACATGATCAATTATAAAAAAATGTGAAATAAGTAGTATATCATTCATTCATGAATACAATCAGATGGTCGTGTGTTTTGCAGTATAGCTATTATTGAATGAAAATATTTCAAAATCTAAGAGAAATTGTTTTATAAGTTAATAATAGGATATCTAAAAGCTAACTACATTTTTAATATCACTATAAATAATTAAACAAAGAAAAATATGTAAAGTAACTTAAAAGTATATTCAAAAATGTTTTATAAAACGAGTTTGAAGAAAAAGAAAAGTAAATAAAAATGTAAAATACTTTAAAAGCAATTTTAATAACATAACTTATATACATTTTATGAAATAACAATTTCAATAACAAATCTTATATAGTGAATTAAAAACAAAAATAATTCATCGACACCTAACCAAAATATCAATGCATACTGTTGCGTACTCAACACTGATTTATTGTTAGATACAGAAATATGTGTTTCATTATTAAACTTTAAAACTATTTTTATTAATCGTTCATTAACTAAATAATGCATATTTCAAACTAAATAATGCATATTTCAATGTAAAATTTTGAATTGTCTTTTTAATTTTCACTATGCAAAAAACAAAGAAAAAAATTCAAAAATTATTGACAAAGCATGCATTCTGTTATTTTAAAAGCCTCAAATGAACATTCGAAGAAAACATTATGAAATTATATACTTTAAGACAAGATAATTTATTTATAACATTTAAATATACAGTTTACAAATTTAAATTGGCTGGCTTTACATAATTTTCACCTTATCATACTTTTTTCATTATTTAAAATGTGGTATAAGGGATACGATAAACTAATTACCATTATTAGTATTAACAGGGTTTTTGACCCTCTCAATTATATCTGACTTGCTTGAAACAGCTCTTTCGTAATATTAAGATGGAAGTGTTTGAAAACTTAGAAAAAAGATTTCTTACACTAACAAACTACGGCCTGTCATAAATACATTCTTTTTTTTCTTTATGTAACAAAAAAATATCTGTAAAATAAAATAAACAGAAAAATTAATAAATATAAATTGTTGCTATTAATTCTTTCAGCTTTAAGGAAGAGCTTTTAACTATTTAATATACTCCCATTATTTATTTTTAACCTGTTAAGTTGGAATATTCTATGGAACAAAACTAGCATGTAGCATTTCCATTCATTAAACAAGGATGGCCTACATAATGCCTCACAAAAACATAATTAAGTAAATTAAACAAGCTCAAGTCACAAAGCATAAAATATGATTTGCGAGTAAAATTAAATGCAATCCAGAAAATATCTTAAGATAAATTGAGATTAACTTTATCTAAAGATTAAAGATAAATACAACAAGTAAAGAAATTATATAAAAACAACTTCTTTCCCTTTAAATTTATTTAAGTTGAATTCATACGAATAAAAACAAATATTTAAAGTATTAAATTCAAAAACTTACCACAAATAAAGAAGGAGCTTCTTTAGAGCTTGCCATTCTAAAACAAAGGATAAAAATACAAGTCATAAAATTGTTGGACAAAATTTAATGTGATTTTTAAAGTTAGTAGCAAATAAGAATTTCCTTAATATAAGATAAGTTTTAAAAAAAATATAGTTAATGCAACAAGCTAACAAAGAAGGAGGTATCCCAAGTGTTACGTACAAATTACTAATTTTAATATAAAAATGCTTTCTAGTATGAAAAAATATGAGTTAGTTAACATAATAATAATGGAAATATGCATCCTTAAAAATGGAAATTTTACTGAAATTACTTTTAAACGTATTCACAGGAACTGTGCCGATAAAATAATTATTTCCTTTGTAATAAGATTTAGTGTGTAATGTTCAGAACCTTTTCTAAGTATTTATTAATAATATAAAATTCGAATTAACAAAATGTTTTCAAAAGATTCAAAAAAATATGTGATACTTCAGATGTTAATATTTGGATGACTCCATTATCCAAAAGTAGTAAACAAAATTCTTTCTAACTTTAACCTATGATTGAATGCATTTGCGTGCACTATGTGAATAATACACTCATGGGGATATAATTCAACAGTCACAAGATGGCAAAAAGCACTCAAAATATTTTGCATTTTTCAGTAAAGTGAGCAATGATTTCCTTTTTCCAATGGTATTCATGCACTTTGTTGTTTCATTCACTTTGAAAACTGTCCAGCACAAAAGTGAACAGGCAGCAAGAACATCACAAGAATAAACTACCAATATAACCTGACTGGTATGTCATTCCCAAATTGGTGAATATCTTCCTTGCAAGAGCAAAAACAAATATTGCATTATAATTTTATCAAAGATTTTTTGATAGGAAATAACAGCATTTTTAAACAATCGCACCACAGTTTTCCATGTCTTGTCAATAGAATAATCAGAGGTCTGTCCAAACATTTTGTGAAAGGTCTGCTTTTGTAAAATTGTGAAAAAATTACTCTTAATTTGTGAATGTAAAATAAACGTTAAGTCAAATTCTTTCAACCCAGGTCCTGCTTTTGAGAATTTATGCAAATAGGGTCCTGATATTGCAAAAAACTTTTTCAAGGAGTTTTTAAATTGTAAAGAGATACAAGATTATGCTCAACACTGTAAAATTATAATAAAAAAAATTTAATTTTAAAAAATAAGCAGCAATTGCTGCTACTAAATTAGAGATGCAACATACAAATATTTGGTATTTAGCCTATACTGCTGAACGCAGAATATTCATTTCAGACGAATAAAGGAAGAAGCATCTGCAAAAGAAAAAACTTTGTTCGTTTACATCGGTCTTTCTTTCCACCCACTCCCCTGGGAAGGGTTTATTCGATTAACAAAACAATAATGAAGATTAACAAATTTGTGAAAGGTCCGATTATAAGATAAATTATTTTGTGAAGGGTCCGTTTTTAAGTTAAAATACTTAGTGAAGGGTACGTTAACGGACCCAATTTCGTCGAAACAAACCTCTGATAATTAGAATAAACTTCCTCATAACAGACATTCAAGGGTTGCAAGGCTACAGGCATTCCCCGTCGCAAAACAAGTTTAATGCATTTCAGTTTATGTATCAAGTTAAATTTATCTTCTATTATTTGGAAGTCTTGTTCTAAGGACAGTTACTTTGCTTTTGAAGTAAAACCTGTTGATCTAGTTCAAAGACTTATTTTTTTTTTAATAACTTTTATAACTGTCGTTGAACAGCCGACCCAAATTTTGGGTTTACGACTACTAATGTTCAGCGCAGTAGCCTTGTAATTTTGAATCCAATCCAGAAGACAAGGTAACTCTTGGATCAAGTATTGGGAGAAATTTGCCTTCGTGGAGGACTTTATGATGGAACTAACCTGCATTTGCTTCACATGGAGAGGAAAACCACAAAAACCTCCCGCGGTTAGCCTGACGGACAACCACTGAGGATATTTTATACCAGGACTGCAGTTGGTGCAAGACGGATGCGGAATTTATATCGACCAGCCATTGCTGAGTTTCTAACCTGGTTCACCTTATTGGAAGGCAAATGCTCTATCCCTTGAGTCATCATAGCTCAGTTCATACTGTTTGTCTACGATGGGTACTCTGCCAGACATCCGTCTGGACCTGTGGCGGTGAGTATGGTAACGAGGTATGATTATTTCAAGTAGTAGGGATGCGGGATTCCTCTTTAGACTGGTTTGGGCGAAAGAAAAGGAGACCTCTTCATCAAAGCCACCCTCCCTAAAATGCCCTCTTCTTGTTCCCATAGTACCAGACTGCCGCAGACATAGTGGTGGTCAGAGTACCTATCTTAGACAAACAGTAGATTTTGGGGGGGGGGGAACACCTTGGAAAGAAGTTAGTTTCTTTAAGTAAGCACACCTGAAAAAACCCAAGCAGGGTTTGCAAAAGTCACCTGGGTTCACTTTGGCGAGCTATGGTAATAAATACTATTATATTAAAACTGGCATTATAATAAAACTGTTTTTTTTATTTCTATTTTTACTCATTTTTTTAATAAAGGTACATAATTGGCACTGTTACAGGGATATATATATGTGTGAAGATAAACAATTACATCACACCTACCAACATCGGAGGAATAAAATATCAGCGATTTTACTAGAGCCACTTTTTAGGCAAGGAGTTAAGTTCTGATACATCATGCACAATCATGTAAATCAAGAAGAGAAATTCAAAATTCGAAATAATATAAGAACTTACATTTAGCAAAGTAAAGAATATGTATATACAGGGGTCTGTCCACGCCGAATTTACTACCGTTTAGCGGTACCTTCACAAATTCAATTTTAGGAAAAACGGTAGTTTCACAAAATACTTCCTCTTAGAATTTTATTTTTGTATCCCTTAAGAAACGATAAATCCATATTTTCGTGTTGATTTTTTTATATAAATTTTAATTTTTCACAAATTATATCTAAATTTTCACAAAATAGGTACCTCTCAGAAAAACCTAGACAGACCCCTGATATAAATCTTAATCTAAAGATTTTTTATTATTACTTAAACTATAAACACTCAACATACTGCAGTACTGGTAATAGCACCATCTGTTGAGGAATAAGATAAGTATTTTTGCTCAGGGTGCTTAGCCAAATCTTTCAACAAAAAATAAGCACCTTTTAAGTACTTTATAAGCACTCAAAAAAAAATTTTAAGCACAATTTGACTATTTTTTTAAAAAAAAGTAAAAAAGAAAAAAAATTTTACATGCTACGCAGTTTCAATAAAGTGCTTACTCTTCATGAAATTTGTAGCAAAATAAAAGAAATGAACCTGATTGTTATATGTTAATCATTTGCAACGGAATCACACTAACTGAAATATTTATGAATTTTTGCGTTTTAGGAACTATTTTAAAAAGACATTTATGACACGTTTTTCGGCAGTTATTTATCATTTTTCAGGTCCCTTTCACATGAATTTTCAAATAACGATATATTAAAAACAATGTTCGAAATTCGAGTTTGAGTTATATTATTTGAGTCTACCGTAAATCCAGATCGTTTATCAATCGTTTTTTCAGCAGCTGTTGGTCGTGTCTTGATTATTTTCTCACGGGTTTTTCGATTCAGATGTAATTAATACGATGTCATGGATAACCAGGGTTGGGGTTTTGGACAGAACACGTGGGTTCTATTGTCTTAAACTGTCCTAAACTGGATAAAACTGTCCTAAACTGTCTTAAGTGTCCAAAACTTTGAACTTTGGTAAAAGGTAACTATATCAATAAATATTTGATATTTTTTATACAATTTACTTTAACTTATTAAGGAAAATAATATAATAGGAAAAGGTTTATAATTTTTGAAGCTCTACGATTCATAGAACAACAAAAGTGAATACCTAATCCTTTAAATATAAATATGCTTTTAAGACTGATAAATAATGTTTTTGCATAAGGAAAAATAATGCAATATTAAAAAATAATAATATTTTTTTTAAAAAAAATACTAAATTGGTTTAAAAATTAACCTTTTATTTTTCACAATAATTTTTTTAAAAAATTTTTATAATTTCTGCATCACATGATGATAAAAAAAGACATCTATTTAAAAAAAAATGTTTTTAAATATAAATATATTAGTTTAAATTGAAAATACAAAATACATGAAAAATGTATTAACAGTTTTGAAGGGCATAACATTAGTTTCAGTTACTAATACTGGTGATGTATCACCACTATGCTAAAAGAATCGAACATGAATGAAATAAAAGTATCCTTGAATAGTACTATAGATAAATAAACCTGTTTATGACTAATCAAGCACTTAGTCCCTAATAGCTTAACCTGTATGGCAAGGTCAAACTTCAATTATGTACTATTGAATGAAAGGACCAATTGAACTTGATTACTGAATCCATTCTGTCCTAAACCTTGCCAACCCTGTGGATAACGAATTTCATATTTTTGTAATCACTTTTTTACACGCTCAATTCGAGACAATTCCATTATTATAAGTCCAAATTTTTGTTATGATTGCTTTTGAGGCAGTATAAGTTATTATAATTACTTATCGTTTTTTCATTCATTTTGACATCGTTTTTAAAATACCGATACGCTTAATAAGTTATTACGAAGCGCAACATTTTCAAAATTCGAGAATTACACTCATTTTAAAACTTATAGAATGAGTGAATATAAAACAGAGGAATTATTTTTTATTTATATTTTATCCTTAAAAAAAACTTTAATGGTAAAATTAAAAACTTTGTATAGTCTGGAAATCTTTAAAGTTATGCAAATATTTGTGAAAAATGCCCCTTTTCGTGATAAGTGCCCTCTTTTAAGGGAAAATAATGCTCTTTTCCGCTTCTAGCACCCTGCCTTTATTAAACATTCTTTTTTCCATATTATAGCTTTATTTTTTATAAGTATAGCAAACTCTGGTATATTGAGCACAATGTTTTAATGAGGAAAATGCCTCAATCCTTATACTCTCATTATTAAAGAGTTTAAATGAAATTACAAAACAATATGAAGTGAATATTTACTTTTACAATAGCACGTGAGTCAGGGCCGTAACAACGCCGGGGCACCGCCCCGGAGCCCCTGTAGTCAAGGGGGCCCCCCCCATATGAAGAGATCACATCATGCTTTTTCAAAATACAGTACTCTAATTATATATATGTAGGAAAGAAATTGTGTTAAGATAGAGTTGCTGAAAATTTTCTTTTTTGTAATTACGTAACTACTATAACATAAAGGAAAGGGTAAAAAACGGTATAACAGCTTTTCACAAATTATTTCCCTTTCTCATAAGAACAAACACACTTTGCAGAGAAGGGGAAAGGCCACAGCTGCATGTAGTTGATTGTTAACACTTTCTGTACATTGCACTTCTGGTTTACATTGTTTCCTCTACTATCTAGCGTCAGACACAGTGGTGTGTCAACCAAGGGGAGACAGAGGGCCCCTCTAAAATTTAAGTGATGGGGCAAACGATGTGTTTCGCCCCTCCTAAAATTTAGACACTCACAAAAATTAAGTAAAATCGGTAATTTTAAAAAAAAAAAATTCAAATTTGAAGCTATTTTTGAAATAAGAAAACTTTATACATATTCCACTAACATTTATGTGCTTTGCCTTTTCTGATATTTAGTTATTCGCCAAGACGAAGTCCATTAAAATAGGTAATTTTAGAGAAGAAGAAAACAAAGCTATTCTTTCTCAGCTTTGAAGTTATACATCAAGTAGGAAACTTTATTTTGTTATGGGCGATTAATGTGTTTTTTGACTTTTGGAAAAGTAAAGTGAAAATGGAAAAAATATTTTAATTCCAATTTTCACTCTATTTTCATCCGAAATAGTAATGAGGGGGCGAACATAGTGTTTCGCCCCTTTTGAAATTTCAAAGTACTAAAAAATAATAGAAATTGGTAACTAAAAATAATTTCATCTTTGAATCTATTTTCCAAATAGAAAACTTAATTTTCTTCTGAAATAAAAGTGAGGGGGGTGGGGAATTTGCTTCTCATCTTCTGAAATTTAGACATTAACATTAATAGAATAAAATCAAGCAAAGTAGGAAATTTTAGAAGAAGAAAATTGTTTTGTTTCATAACTTCGACGATATTTTCCAAATAGAAAACTTAATTTTCCTCTTAAATTATAGTAAGGGGATAGGAAACTTTATTTTCTTCTGAGATAAAGTAAGGGGGGCTAAAATGTGTTTTGTATCTTCTGAAATTTAGACATTTGAAATAATGAAGTCTAGTAATTTTTTTTTCTTTTTTTTCTTTAAAAAAAAAAAACTTTGAATCTATTTTCCAAAAAGAAAATTTTATTTTCCCCCTTAAATTAAAGTGAGGCGGTGAAGAATATACTTCGCCCCTTCTGAAATTCAGACATTCGCAGGAATAAAGTCAAGTAAAATTTATATTTAACTCTTATTTTCGACAGTTAAAGCTATTTTCCAAATCAAAAACTTTGTTTTCCTCTGAAATTTAATTGAGATGGAAGATAATGTGCGCCACCCCTTCTGAAAATTTGACATTCGCTACAATAAAGTAAAGTAGAATTGAGAATTTTAGAAAAAGAAACTACTTTTTTTCCAATTTACTAGCTATTTTCCAAATTGAAGTAGAAATTGGTATTTTATGATTAGCATTATATTTAGAGGAAAAGGAGGCTACTGTGGACATGGGGGACAGGAGTAGACAGCATGAATATTTTCCCCCTAGTCATATTTCCTCAGTGAGATGTCGTAAATTGGTAACATTTACGTACAGTGAACCAAAAAAGTACCACCCTGAATAACTTTTGATTTAATGATCGGATCTTCACGTTCTAGGACTCCATCTTAATAATTCGAGGGTGTGACATCAAATATGCAAATTAATTAGTGCACAATATTTTATTTTAAGTTACGCAATCAGACGTAAAAACATACTTTCTCTGAATAAACATAACTTTTGTTCAACAGATTCGATTTTCTAACCCCCCTAATATAGGAGGTAGCTGTAATCTGGGGAATATGGTCCCAATAGTTGGGTCGGGTGAGTTATCCAAAGTTTGGACCCCCAAATGTTAATTTTATTTTTTTGTATTTCACTACAGATCGAGAGCTTTTTAAGGGAATTGAAAAAATTTTGCACACGATTATAAAATTCTGTTATCTAAAGGTAATTCCACGCAAGAAATAACTTTTAGTAAATATTTATTATTTTTTATTTAATAATAATCTGATGCTGATCATTCACGTCGCACTAGTGCTGCACAATAGGCTATTGGCGACGGACTGGGAAACATCCCTTGAGGTTTGATCCCTTGTAGAAGGGATTGCCCCCTGCTTCAGTAGCCCAGTGACCTGCACCCGAAGTCGAGCACTTTATCGTAGAACAGTTTAACGAAGACCAATACCGCACACCCTCGGTCCCTACGCAGACTGACCCAAGTGGTCACTCATCCGCACACTGACCGCAGCCAGTGATGCTTGACTTCGGTGATCTGCTAGGAACCGTGTCTTAATGATCAGTCCCCTTTGGGACAATAATATTCTGAAAACTTTTGAATCGTAAGGCATATAGTTTTTTTTTTCTGTATCATTTTTAAGTATAATTCCACATGGAAAATACAAATTTGAGCGAAATTGGTTGAATAGTGCATTAGTTCCTGAGAAATCGAGTTTTATAAGTACGATTTTTTTTAAATTTAATTTTTCAGGATTAATCAATTTCGCTGAAATTTTGCATATTGTCATGTTTAAAACTTACAATGTTTTGTAATCAAATTTATAAGCGAACAAATAACTTGTTTTCATAAATATATTCACTAACATAATACATAAATAGCTAAAATGACAGTTAGAGATGGAGTACTGAAAGTTTTTGAAAGGGCCTCCGCCAAAAATGTTTGCCCCAGGGCCCCGAGGAGTGAAGTTACGGCACTGATGTGAGTGTAATATTTATATGATAGTCTATAAAATAGTTTGAGTCAAAAAAAGCTGTCTAAAGCAAACACAACAGAGGATGAAGAATACTACAATGAGTTAATACAAAGCCTAAACTAAACAGTATTTAAACAGGGTGCGAAGCAACATCTCTCAACAAAAAATTAGAATAAAAAATAAGTACTTTTTAAGTACTCAAAAAAAAATTTAAGCACTATATGTTTTTACAAAATGCTAAATAATTTTCAAAGACTTTACATGATCATGATAAAAATAACTTGTTTCTGACAAAGAACTCTTTTCATAATTACATTAGCCACCATAAAAAGATGAGATTTTTCGGTTTGATTTCAGAGGGTGGAAAATGAAGCCTGAAATTGAGAATAATTGCAAAATACAGCAGAGTTGCACATGAGAATGCAATAATCTCACCGAACCCAGCTAAGTAGACACACATGCTGTCTCCCAAGTATTTTATGAAATATGCAACATGATGAGCGCCATCATACGTTACGGAACGACTGTACATCGAAATAGATTGTGGTTGATTGAACAGTGAATGAGTTGAAAAAGAACAATGTGAATACCACGCTTTTGCGTAATACGCAAGGAAAATCGACATGGTATAGAAAAAAATCTCATTTTTGAAAAGGGAAAAATTAAACACTTTAAAAAAAAAAGCATCTTTAAGGGCTTTTAAAAAGCGAAATTCGAAAATAAGCACCTTAAGTACTTTTTAAAAAAGTTACACACCATGTTAAAGGGAAGAAAAAAACACTAAAAATAAATTCATAACATAAATAAATTACCTAAAAACCAGTATTACATCAACCAGTTATATAAAATATTACTTACTTGCTGTCAGCGGAATTCTTTTTAGATTTCATAGATGATGTATTACTGTTAACCAATTTTTTATCCAAAGTATTAGGGCTGTAAAGAAATTAAATAAATTTTTAACCATATGACCTACATAACAAAAAGCATTGAATTTTTTTTCAAAAACAATACAGTTTATTTTAATCAATAATAACTTTAAAAGAGTAGGTAAAGTTAAAAATTAGTTCCAAAAAGGAATGGAGCAGAAATAATGAAAAATTTTACAGTACAGAGCTGTGCCAAGTGAATTTATTTCCTACTTGAAAAATCTAACACTATCACTAGCAGACTAGGAATATTATATTAAGGAAATAAAAAAGTGTAATTTATAATTTTTTTTTTTTTTAATATTTAAAATTTTAATATTCATGGCATTGGAAACATGCATATTTATATTAGTTTGGCTATTTAATGCAGTGACTTTACCAACCGCAAACTGTGATTTTAAAACATTGTGATATAATTATACCAATCACATCAAAAGTTTCATCTAGTATTATTATAACAAACAGTTCATGAAAAATGAATACATCAAAATACAATTCTAAAAGAAAGCAAAAAAAATATAAAAAAATACTGATGAAGATTGGATATGATAGGAAAGAAAAGAGAATGGAAAATAGTGCAATCATTCATTTTTGGCACACAGTAAAAAATAAAAAAAAAACTTTTAAAGTTAAAGCAGGGCTTTTTTCTCTGAACATAGGCATTAATTTCTTTATGTTACAATATTAATTACTAAAGTTCAGAATTTTTTTATCATGTTCATGTGACAAAAACAGAAAAATATTGAAGGAATCATGCACATAAAAATTTCTGTTAAAATTTACATTGAAATAGAGTAGAAAAATTGTTTCGCATCAGAATAATAGGTTTTATAGTTCGTGGTTTCAATAATGAAGTAAGTGGAAGAAAATAAGATATTTTTGGAAATGAAATGATGGTGATGAATACTTTAAATCAAAATGAATTTTGAAATGATTTTTAAATCAGTGATACTTACATTTAAAGCAATTAGTATAAAGTGCCATCACTGAACTATTTTGGAGATTGAAACTAGAAAATTTGTCAAGCCCCTTAATTTCTTCTTAAATATAGAATAGGTCTTGTCCCTTAATGTTTCCGTAGTTTAGCGGAATTCACCGCATAAACTACGGTATATCCTTATAATATGGAAATCCTGTAAATGTAATTACTTTGAAGAAAAACCATAAGTCTGCAAAAATTAAGGAAAACAAACCTCAAAAACGTAAAAACAAAATATAAAAGAATTGAGATATTAAATGGATAGACCTCAAAAGGGTAAGCCCTAGTTTTTAATTGCAGAATTGGTAACAGAATAATTGATTTATCATAATTTACTAGGTTTTAAAAATGTCATTTTTAATTATTTTACTGCAGCATTATAGAGCTTTTGTTAGAAAAAAAATTCTAAGAAGTTAAAAACAAATATTTTTAAGAATTAACAATATCTATAATGAAAGGCCAATAGCATTAGTAAACTTTATGAGGAAGAAAAATTGCCTAGAAACTATGATCATATATTTAAGAAGATGCAGAACATGAATACAATTTAAATGTTTTATTTTTTTATAGATTGTGTTTTTTTAGCATTCAATACAAATAAGCACAGCAAAAAGTTTAAAAAATATGAACAAAAGAGCAATGCCACTCATATTCTACAATCTGTAGTGATTTAACAGATGCCCAATTTCCGCCAAGAAACTGAGGATAAAATACAGAAAAAATAATGCCTTTTCATAATTTAAAAAAGTAACTATGTAGTAATTTTAAAAATTTGACCAAATTAAAGTCTATGTTTGCACAAAAAGTAGCATTCTATAAACTTTACTTAATAAACATTAGAAAAACGTTTACAAAATTCTTTCACAAAGAAATACAAAATTTATTTCCAAAAGAATTTCGTATTTTCTATTAAGTTTTGACACAGAAATACCCCTTAATTATAAAACGCTTCTTGATAAGCTAAACATAAGAAGAATCAAAAAAGCTTTAACATCAAAATAGTAATAATATAACAAATAACAATTTTACAGAAAGGTAAGAAAACACCAATTAAACTTAAATAAATACTAAATATATGCAAAGGAAGTTGCAGATATTTAACTTGTCTAAAAAAATTTATCATACAAGGATTTAAACAAGGGAAGCATAACTTTTAGCCGACATAGCTTTAAATTGGTTTTTGAAATGCCTTAAATATTAAAATATGAATGGAAAAAACTTAAAAATAAAAAATCTTTAATCCTGTCTAGCTCTTTGTAAAAGTTACTAATCTAGTTTATCTTTCTCGTAAATATTGGATTCTACTGTTCTCCTTAAGTTCTTTTAGAGTGGTGTTTTACCTTGCCTACCCTTTTGCAGAGCTGGTGATAACCTTTTTGTAAAAATTTTCTCTCTCTTTTATTAAGAAAATAAATTATCATTTTACTTCATTTTTAATTTTAAGATGAAAGATTGCACTGTCTTCCACTAGCAGAAACTAGAAGCTTCAGATTGCCATAAACACATCCTCAATGATATTTTTTAAATTTTATAAATAAATTTTTTCAAAAAATAGAAATTTTCTAAATATGAAAAGATTAAAAAAAAAATAATTTAAAAGCAACAAATTCTTTCTTAAAATAATAATACAATTTGAATTCTGATGTAAATAAATGTTTTTTTTTTTCCCCCATGCTATCTTTTGACTATATATATCAGGGGTCTGTCCAGACATTTTGTGAAAGGTCCGTTTTTCGTGAAATTGTGAAAAAATTACTCACANGTGATAATTGATTATACTTAGAGTTCACACCAGCAAGGAAAATGGTATTTATTCAGTCGCCTTACAGACATGATTCCTAATTGAACAAGATATATTTACAACAAATTATAGATTTAATTTTTTTTTTAAATGCATGGAAGTAAAAAAATTCTTTATATAAGTGTAAGTCATTAACAAGCCATGATTACATTGAGCCATGCATGTATATACTATAAATGCATACTATAATATGCTTCAACTTAATACAATTAAAGTTTACATTAAATTAGCACAATAAATCACAAACGTTTTAGAGTAAAAATATAATTACTTAAAAAATTTCAATTATAATTAGCTTTAGTCAAATTATTATTTTTTTATGATTAAATTCTAGAAATTTTCAGATTTCATAAGAAAAGTTTTATTTCAAAAAAAAAAAAAAAAAAAAAAACGTTTAACATTAAGAACACAGANTTTTTTAAAAAAAAAAAAAAAAAAAAAAGATAAGCACAATAACACAGCTATTTGCTTTAATAAATATTATTCAAAACAAAATTGAAAAAATAAAACTGTACACTAACACTAAAAAAACATTAAACAAGTAAGATTAAGAATTATAGAACATTTATTAATATCTAACACAAACAACACTTAATAAAATATCTGAATAACTTATTTTTTGACAACAAAAAAAGAATGTGTGAATTATATCTAAGAAAAACAGCTTATAAGAAAATTTTATTTGCATCATAAAACATAACATAAAATGGAATTAAAATACAAAATAGAGTCATAACTTTGTTCTTCACAAAAAAGCTGAATATAATTTTTGACTAGATGAATATAATTTCATTAGATAAAAAATTTATTTAAGTTAAAATATTAAGAAGACAAAAAATAATGTGTAATTTTTTTTAAGGAGCAAAAAATAATTTTAACAAGAAAAATAATTAAAATTAAAAACAAAATTTAATATGAGTTGCATATTTTTGTACAGATGAACAAAAACATATATAAAAAAGTAAACTAATTTTTTAAAATTAAGATTTTAAGTGTGTCTCCATAAAATTTCAAATGGTTTTTGAAAAAATACTTTCACAAAATAAGAAAAAAATTTAAAAACTTTATATTTAAAAATAAAAGTCTATTTTTATCCTGCTATATAAATAAAAATAATTTTAAAATTAATTTATTCCTCAGAAATTAAATCACAAGCAAAAATAAATAAGTAAATAATAAAAATATATAATATTTTGTTTTTAGGTTTAGAATTTAGTATTCCTGCACGCAATTAACTTACCTCATTATATGTAAAATTCAATTAAATCTTAGTAACAAAAAGTCACTTTAAACTTTTTTTAACTCTAAGTTATGAGTGACTTATAACTTCATAAGGCATAATCATCAACCTAAAAATTCCTGAAAAAAGAATTACACTTGTAAAGTTTGAAAGCTCTAAAGAACAATTTTAAAATAAATAAAGAGTGATGAAAGTGAATTGCGAAAAGAAAAAATATTATTTAATTAAAATATAAACATTACAAAAATAATAAAATTTTTAAAAAATCATAAAATCAATAAAATGAAATTTAAAAAAAATTAAAACAAGATATGAAAAAATACAAACTAAAAAGCTTTGTTAAAAATTCTTAATTCTAATTAATTTCTTAACGCTTTATTTTGATTTAAAAAAACTATGATTTGATTACTATTGAAAACTATTCTCATAAAATTAATTAACAAAAACATAAGCATGGATAAAACATTCAAAAATAAATGTTGACAGTTTAAAAAATATAAATAGAAACATTTAAGAAAAATTAAATAAAATATATATGCAGGGCACGAAATTAATGATGTTCTGTATTCCAGGACCACTAAAAATTAGACTCAGACTACCATAAAAAATTTACCAGTGAGATCTATGATCAAAAATTGATATAAAGGGATGGCATGCTGTTTTGTTTTGAGTTTTCAGCTTTGTTTCGGTGTGGGTATTAAGACACAAAATAGCACATTTTATCATAATTGTGGACGCCACAAAATCTCCGTAATTTTCTTCCCTCAAATTCACTTCATAACCTTTAAAAAAAATAATAATTTGAGAAGAAAACAGGCCTGTTTTGTTTTACTTATTAGTCCTCCAAATCATTGATCATGTTTCCTTAATTTCTACCCTTGTATATTATGGAAAAATTTCAGATTAAAAAAAAATAAGCCTTTGTCAATAACATTCATACTACAGTACAGAACCGGTTATCCGGAATCCGGAAATTTTATAAATTTTCCCACCATTTTTTTAAAAAAATGTTTTATTCCTCATAAGATTTTAGGATTTTTCTTTCTTTTTTGAAAGATGTTTACCTTACCATCATTTTGGAAATAATCATTAGTGTATTACTTCGTCGTTTCTTCTTCTTTTTTATATTATTTCCAAATGCTTTTTTTTAATTGAGTTTAACAATAAAAAACGGCTTTTTGTAGCGATTCAGAAAACCGGAAAAATCAGTTTGGTCCCGATCGTTCCGAATAATCGGTTCCCTACTGTACTAATCAAAACTATTAGCGAAACATTTATAAAAAAAATTTAAAACTTAAGAACCTGGGTTTGTTGATTTAAATCAACTGATTTTTTATATATATATTGATTTAAAAAGTTAAAAAACAGTGTTTTAAATTATTGATACTTTTATTACTTTCGTTTCTTAGTTTTAAAATTTATTTTAAACAAATTGCTGCACTTATTAATTTTAGTTAACAAAATTACTTTCTTACTTGGTGTGTGTTAAATTCCAACACATTTGAAATTACAATTTTAAAACTCTTTTGATTCTTGAGATTGAAAGCACAGATTAAAGTAAACATTTAATGCTGTCTTAATATAGACTTGCATAGCTGTAGAAAGTAATAATAAACAATTTTTTTCACAAAAAAATAATGTTAATTAAAATTCTATCTTTTGATTGAAAAAGCATGGAATTAAAATCTACATTATATTTTTATTGGTGCAAAATGTATATTTTTAAAGCTTGAGATTATCTGAAAAAAAAATTACCCTAATATGCCGAAAATATGGTTTAAATTCTCTATTTCATCTAGTCTTTAAATTTCAATCATGCATTTGTTTCAAATTGGCTGCTATGTATCATAATGAAAAATTGTTTTAGATAGAGCTTCTAAAATATTGTTATAATATAGCTTTAATATTAATTTAATTTTGATTAAACATTTATAAAGTTTTTTTTAATCAAAAATCAAAGTTCTTACAGTGTATTTGAATAAAATTTTTTAAAAAATCCGATTTAAATCAAAAAAATCACGAACCCTGTTAAGAACTATCTTTAAAGATAATATAAAATTGTAGAATTGTGTTTGATTAAACAAAAATAATTAATAACTCAACACTAAATCAAAAAACAAACAAAATAAACAATAAAAACAATATTTTTTTAACAAAAATAATTATTTATTACAGGTTATAGCATGATTAAAACAAAAAAGTTATAAAATAAACTAACTATTATAGCTTCAAAGCAAAAGATTGAAATTATAAAATTTCATATTTTCATTTAATTAATGAGAGTTAATTTAAGAGAAAACAAATCAGCATTAATTTATTTTTTAGAATCAATCTAAATTTTTTAAAAATATCACTAAATAAGAATAAATTGAAATTAACTCAAAACAAACTGTTTGTTAGGTATTTAAAAAAATGTCTCTAAAACTACATTCTTTTTGAAACTTATGATAATTGGGAGAAAATCTTAATAATATAAATCTTAAATCTTAATTATGCGAAAGTATACATATTAATTTATTTTTAATATAAATTATCTTTTGAGGTTTCAAAAATTTTAAAGACAATAAAAACATGGTCAAAAAGTTTTGCAAATGGATAATTACTTATATATATAATAGATAGATAAGATTACCAGATAAAAACAGCTTTTTCTGTATCATTCAATAAGAAATTAAAATTCATGCAAAGCAAAGGAAAGGAAACATTTTTTTTTTTTTTTTAAAGTAATGCTCATCATTACTAATTCTATTCAAATCTGTGTTTATTAATTTTACAACAATAATTTGTAAATTAGATAATCAATAAATTAGAATGATTTTAAAATATACAGTTAATAAATATTTGATCAACATTAACTTTTATTATACCTTTCGGCTAAATTTTGTAAATACAACAGCATTGACAATATTTTTTTTATTTCCTAATGAAACTGAAATGCATTATATGTTATAAAACAAAAAGTCAATTTAAGTTTTAATTCAACAAAAGTTTTTATAATAAAAATATAAAATTACAGATCTTTCCTATTTAATGATGTAATTTATTAATATTCATAACTTTATTATTAGTCTATCATTATTTATCAATATAACAATAGACTAATATTGCATGTGAGTTAATTCAAGAATGAAATAGAAACTTTACTGAGGAGTGAAAAAAGGAATAAAATTCATTGTCACCTTTAGATAAGGCATTATAATAAATAAAAAAACTGCATCTAGAAAGAAAATAATAATTTTTTTAAATGCTATACCATTATTTTGTGCACACAAATTTATGTATGTTGCTTCAAAACAAAGGTTTGAGATCATTTGACATTCCTATTACACCATACAATATGTCTAAGTTATTGCAATGGTCATTATTTGTGTATTTCTTGGTGGTATGAAAGAATGACTCCTTTTATCCAAATGATGCCAAGATATAATCCATATATATATATACATGACATAAATGTATGGTAGTACTTGCTAATGAAGGATATTCAATGCATGTTAATGCTTAAAAATTAGGAAATCATCAATCGTCAGTCATAAATGAAACAATACCTAAATGAACAAGTACCTAAATGAAACAATAAATAAAAATATATACGAATATTGTAATTAGTACATTTTAATATTCTAAGTTTAGATATTAAATATGGTGAATTTTGACAATGAAATTCTTATATTAATTCATTAAAATGAACTTTATAATTTCATCTAAATCGATAGTTTTATAAGCCAAAACTCAATTTAGCCAAAAATTTCTAAAAGTCCCAAGAAAATATTTTTAGCAATTGTACAGAAATTTTTTCTTTAGGATTGGGAGATATTTTTGTATTGGTACCTACAATAAAATTGGTGATCATGGGATACTTCCATATCACGATCTGCCATGCAAACTACTCACCAGGGGAGGGGGGAGATTTTCCTATTGTGATCTATCATGGCAGCTACAATTACAAAGGTGCCAAATAGATCCTAAATTTGCATTTTTTTTTTTAAAAAAATCATGTAGATGTTTGCCCAAGGGTGGCTACGAGTTATACCTGCCAAGTCAGTCTCTTTCTGTGTTGATTTTTTTTATTTTTTCTCACAGGCTGCTCCCCAGAAGTTTGCCAAGACTTAGCGATTATTATGCCAGAGACCACGAAACAGAAATCTCCCCTCCAAAATAATCAATAAATATTGATGTTGTCCATGCTGTGGCCCATGAGAAACTAAAAAGAAAACCTCATATAAGGGGACTAACTAGGGGAGATTACCCTATCGTCACCTGTAAAATCTTCGCGATTGCAGTTGGCGCAACAGATCACGATACAGAAATATCTCCACTAATTTAAACGGCATAACTAGTAGCCACCCCGTCTTCATATCTGGTTATGATTTTTTACAATTTTAAAATATTAGGCCATGGTATATGGTACAAACGGATTATTACAAAATTACAAGAAAAAAGAACATAAGCATCATATTAGCAAGTGAACATATTCAAAATTTTAATCGATATTCTTTATATGATATGAAGTAAGATCACAATTAATGCCTCCCTGTGTAAGATCACAATTAATAACAAAATTTATTGAGCAAAAAGAGCAACACCATCTAATAAATTAAAACCATAAACCATATAATATTTTCTTTCAAAGCTTTAAAGAACTAAGACTAAAAATACCACAGTGATATGACAACAAGTTAAAAACTTTACTTGAAATATGGCATGTAATGTTTAAAAAATTGATCTAATGTTTGTAAAAACAACTTCTTAGCTGAATCTTTAACACTATTTATAATTGAAATGAGAAAGGGAACAGAAATTTGTAATAAAGATGGTTGAAAATAAAGAAAAACATAAATTAAAAAAACATTTTGAAGATTTTATTAATCCTATCAAAGCAGTAAAAACAATCATAAGTAATCAATAGAAAATTAAAGAAAGACACACATACATTATACAAATAATAATGTGCAAACCATAAAGCCTATAAGTAATAAATATATTAACCGAGTTTGTTTTTATGTAATATATAATCTATTTCAAATAAATATTTTCCTTAATATATCAACAATCATTAAATACTTGAATAGTATTTAATAATATTCATATTAAGACTACAAATTCATTAAAGTTGCATTAATAGAATCAGATTCAATGAAGATGATTACATTACGTACTCTACTCTGTTAATCAAAAACACAATCCATAAGCAATACAAAGAACTAAATTTCGCTGAGCAAATTGTCGCTTGAAATAGTAATTTGTCAAAATTTATCGCAACAGAAAACACAATTTAAAACAAAACATCAATATTGAAGCTTTAACATTGAAGTACACTACTTGTATAACAAATACTGTTTGTTTACAATAATTTTAACACATCTAAATACTTCCTTTAATGCATATGGAATTAGTATTTTCGAAAAGCAGGAAGATTAAACAATGCACCAGGAACTTACCTATCAATTAGCAACACCATCTCACAGCATTTCATAACCTAATGCAACTTACTAAGTAATAATTTGTATTGGCATTTATTATTCAGAAAAAATGCAAATGGTAAATGTAAAAGAAGAATTTTAAAAACTGTAACGCATTTTAAAAAGCATAAACCGTTAACAAACTTGATAGTAGTCTAGCTATCTGACTCATAAACCGATAAAAATACGTGAAAATGGCGGTTTTTAAATGTATTTTAACGGGAGAAAGAAATTAAGCCTAATTCCGCAATAAACATTTTTAATAATTATATTACCAATATATATGAAAAAATATGTGTAAGGAATGTAATATAAAAGTAGTACCTTAATATCTGCAACAATTCGAAAAAATTTATGCACCATCAAATTTTTCCACTGTTGTTAGCATATAGCTGCCCTTGAAAGTGTGCACAGCCATTGCATAACGAGTCCAAACGTATTTATAATGTAAACATGCCAAAAAAATAATGATACAGTACCAATCTACAGATATTGTTATTTACTGTTTATTATAGTGAACAAAATTATATCATACGACTGCTATAATTAAATTGGATTGTTTTTAATTCAAAATCGATTGGGGCAACAATGGATCCCCATTACTAGAGTACATTCCAACCGCGGCCGACAGAATACTGAAATCTGATTGGTCGAGAACAATCACATGACCAGAAAAATATATTTGTATTATATTTTAACCTTATTTTGTAATATTTTTCAGCTAAATTGGTGTAGATTCTTAATATTGCTTTATTTTAAATGCGTCTCTTTGTTGTACGAAGATCTATTCATGTTTATATTTCAAGATCAACGTGTGTCCCGTAACCAACATTCCCAACCCTAAATACATACATCCTTCTTCGACAACGTCCAAATAACCAACTGAATGTGTGATTGTTTATTCGCCATTCTTATCACGTGACGTCAAAATAAAAGTAATAAACAAAACAAAACGACCGCAATTTAAAATATACCATTTGATTTATTTTGTACATACTCATAAAGTAATTTAATAATTTAAGTGAAAGCTTGTTTCTTTTGTAAACATTTAATTTTGTTGGACTTTTATTGGTGAAGTTTGTCTGCGCTTTCCAGACCAATTAAATACAGTTTGTGTGTTACACGCTATGAGAAGCTTCTTTAGGTCATTCCATAAAAATACGAAACGAAATGAACATGCATGAACAACTTTTGCATGAATATCCGATGCAAATGCCTTCACACATGCGAGATTGGTCCGAAAAAATTCAGATACAGTGTAATTGGAGGACTGTTTACACTGCATCAATATTCGTATACCATCTAGAGAAGAAGAGAACCTGATTGGTGACGTTTTGATGGATTGTTTTTTTCAGGTTCGTTTTCGCTTTTTCACCATGGGTGTTCAAAATGCGTGAATTACATATTGTCAGAATGACCCTCTGGTTATTAATGGCACTTCAATGGATTGGATGCGATTTTTTTTAATAAAAAAAGATAGCATGCGAGCGGAAATCTGATTGACGAAAATTTCGGTGTGAAATATTTTCAACTTTTGGCGATCGAAATATGCTGCAGATGGCGTAGAACAGAACTCTCTACCTATGGCAGCACTCTACATGCTTTCCCCATTAGCATGTGGAGAGTCATAGAGAAAGGAAGTACGTTAGTTTCTCTCTTAATTTTCATATAGATTAAAATCTTTTAAGTTGGGAAACTATATGGAACTGAAAACTACACTAAACATGGATGTAAAAGAAAACGTCGTGGAAATTTTAAAAAATATTTTTGACAAGTAAATACAAAAATTATTAAGAAAAAGGAAAATATCGCAGTCCCAGATAGCAATATAAGGTTTTTTTCATCCAACAAAAACCTTTTCATGTAAACCTAAAAAGGGTTTTTACACGGTTTACATGTAAACCTTCTAACCTTAAAACGAGGTCTGCGACAATCTGCTCTATTCTACGCACATTACCCTAATCCAAAACCTTGGAAAACAACCTTCTACCTAACAACCTTAAAACGAGGTTGTCTTAGGGTTTTCAAGTGAAAATAAAAACCTTGAATAACGCTAGTTCTAAGAAGAAAATCATCCTAAATCTACATAATTATAAGGTTTCCGTTTGCAGCGTTTCGTATGCTCAGCTAAAATCTACCTTGTCATGAGATTTTCATTGACAATGCAATTTAATACTATTGCTAGTGTACGTCAGCTAAAACGTCATTCTGAACGTGATGTCATCTCTCCCACGATTGTATGACAGCGCGTTTTATTATTTGTTTTATATTTTTCTTCTTATAGCTTCTCAGTCCGAGGTAAATTCTCCTTTCCATCAATTTTGCTTGATTATTTTGGGGGAAATAGTCNAAGTTTCTAAAAAAGAACTATTACTTATACTTGTGTCGAGAAACCTTTCAAAGAAAGTTTTCGTATTGTACTTTCGCAGACCTTAAAAAACAATCCAAAAACATGGTCTTATGTTCGTTTATTTGCTTTCCCTTAAATGAGGTCCTTTGCAAAATATTTTCGGATTATTTATTAATATTTTCGCAGAAAAGGTTAATATTTGCTTTATTTCGTTTCCTTTGAAAAAGGTTTTCGCTTAATATTTCTGCTGATCTAATCATGACAGCAAACAAAAATGCAAAAAATAAGGTTTACAATTTGCTTGTTTTTTAACCTAAATAACAATATTTTTTAGAAAAGATTTAAAAATCATTTACTTTTCCTTAAAGGAGGAAAGGTAGGAAATTGCAATATTTTTACGTCATTGAAAAAAGGTTTTTACTGCAAACCTTTTCGTGACAATGAAAATAAAGTTAAAACACAAGGTTGTCGTAAGGTTACATGCTTTCTGGGAGTACGTTTCTATACAACAGAATAGACAACAAACGACCACGCAGGCATTGGAGTCTACATTGAGAAACCAGGGGATAGACTGTCTATCTGCCTCATCAACCCTGATTTCTCATCGGTCTTCAAGAGGAAATTAATAGCAATTGAACAAGGCCTTGAAGCTGTTCTTAATGAAAATGTCTTCGGGGACCTCTGGATCCTTTCGGACAGTCGCAGCTCTCCTCAACACCTCCACAACTGGATTGCAATTGGAGAGCAAACTAGTATTTCTATCCTTATCAAACTCAAGCTCATTTCAAAATTCCACGATGTTTATTTTCAGTGGATTCCATCTCATATTGACATATACGGCAATGAGCAAGTGGTTGGACTGGCTAAGGAGGGATGCTACCACTCTAATCCTTTCTCTTCAACACTTACCTTTTTGGAATATCAATCCATATAATTCTGAAATTTCTAAGGGGTGGAAGATTCCTCTCTGCCATAACTGGTATGCGGGCAAAGAACCAGGTTCTTCATTCACCCTCAATTGTGACAGAGCCTCTAAAACCGCAATTTCAAGATTAGCAAGCAGTCACGTCAAGCAAAAAGTCTCTCGTTTTTCGAAAGCAGGAGAATCTTCGAGGTCTGCTCCAAATGTCAAACTGATCCGGCTTCTCCCGAACACATCCTAGACTGTTTGGGGGTTTTCCAAAGAGAACATATACTCATCCCCCCTTCCGGTTCTCGATTTCCTTAGGGTTAACGGTTCATTGGACCTTGTCTGACTTCGTCAGACATTTGGAGCATAAGCCACAACAACAACTGATTAGAGGCAGACAGGGAAGGGATGGGACAAGACATTGAACCGGTTTTCTCCCCAGATTGCGTAATCGGGCGTTGCGCAATGGAGCTTTACTTAAGGCAACACTCGTTGCATAAACATGCTTCTACCATGGCGTGTAGATGCAAGCGATTAAATTTCAAAGTGGCTGGATCACGCTATTGGTCGAAAAGAACACCACTACGTGTGGAAAGGAAGATGGGATATATCGGCAGGCATTGTTTTTTCTTCTATTTCATGTTCAGGAAGTTATTTTTTTGATATCCTCTATATCTATTCAATAATTTATAATTGATTTTATTACAGTCTCAAGATATATAACTGCATTATTTTCACAAGTATGGATGGTTTAAGGTGAATAATTAAGCGCAAATGGTGCTAGAGGTTCGAATTCGTCCTAAGACTTCCAGGTTATTACATCCGACTGATTTTTACACCTAAGCTAAAAACGCGCCATCTAATATTATTATACTTGTATTGTTTTCGATATAAGGCGCTCATTCAATCTAATTTTTCAACGAAATAAACAACAAATGAATATGGAAGAAATCCTTAAGCTTGCTATGAGGCTACCTAAAAAATAAAATACAGCGCTATTTTAAACAAAATAGCCAAATAAGGGATAACACTCAAAACATGGCTAACAATACACTTTATTTATGCTGTGATATTAATTTTGTTAAACTTGTTTTAGACGCACAACCTATTAGAATTTATAAATTACAGAAAACTCTTATGAACAGTAAAATCACACGCGCAAATTTTAAACACAAATCACAGTAATAAAATTTCTTAGAATTGCGGCGTAACTACCACTGCGACCATTAAACATCAATTTATTAGTATATAAAACATTTTAACTCGATTCTATGTTGAGGTACCTTTGGATAGATGAAGTTTAGCATTGTCTAATGGTCTTTTCCCCACATTGGTGAAACGGACATGATATGATCACGATTACTTCGATGGATGGTCCACATTGAACAGTTGACTTGCCAATTGTGACTGCGTCATCGTCCTCTATGCTCCGTTGCTACTCAGTCTCATCAATACACAACGGGATCCTGCACTGCTAATAGCAACACAGGACTGCTAATTGCAAAACAGGAGTGACCACACACACAACCATGATCTTAACACACCTCTCATGACTAAAGTTCAAAACTCGGTGACCTTAATGCAGCTCTCCCAGTCTTTCACAAATACAGCAACTAGTGGTATCCGTTCATCGAATTCTATCCCTGATAAAATTCTGGTGAGGGAGTATTGTGGCGTAACTACCACTACGGTTTAAACGCCGATTCACCAGTATATAAGACATGCTAACTTAATTCAATCTTGAGGTACCTTTTGATAGATGAAGGTTGGCATTGTCTAATAGTCTTTTCCCCACAGAATATTAAGCCCGTTCACACACTGCCTTGTAAGCATAACATAAGCTGAGGGATGGTCTTAGGATGCTTGTTATTGTTTAAATTGGGGCAACCATCTATTTAGGGGCAAGGATAGCCTGGATAGAAGGGCGGTGGGCTCATGTCCAAGAGGTCATGAGTTCGACCCCCACTATCCGAAATTTTCCTGTGTACAAAATGGTGACTGGTGAATGATAAATCTTTCGGGATCAGTTCTCCAAATTCCTATAGCAAATCAATACCTCTGGGGGTACTGAATCGAAGATTAATTGTGCTTTGGTTCAGGCCTAAATTACAATTTGCTGAAGGATGGATGACGTGTGAATGCAACCTCCCTGTAAAACGGGATGTGACATACGTATGTAGTGTTATGATCATCCTCAGGAATATTTTTCATACCGTCTCCCATAGTTCATTTTGTAGCTCCAGTGTGACGTTAATCAATGTACCTACCCCATACAGCTCAATTTATCCAGTAGACATCAGAAATTCGTTCACATGATCCATTCGACGTCATGGATCAGATAACGACGATTACTAGACGTTTTCTTATAGCTAATTTGTGGATAATCTACAATGGCTTAGGTACAGACGTCTTAAAGATAACTATTGTGGACATGTGGATAAAGCACACGGTGGATCATAGAAGACGTCTATGAACAACAATCAAAAAACGTCTCTTAAAATGTTTCTCGTAGTTGAAAATCCGATGTAGGATTGAAGTGAAATGAATAACTTGATGAATAAACACATTTAGTGAATGCTATTTACATTCATTTACAATTTATACATAATAC